CGGGCCTGTGCGGCCCGGCCTCCCCGTACCCCTCTCCTCCCCCCTGGCAGGGCTCACCCGGCCTATCCGCATCAAGGAGCCTCCGAAGCCCAAGCAGGTGGATCGGTGGACGGAAAAACGGGCCTTGTTCGGCGTCTACGACAACGTGGGGATTCTGGGTAAGACACCCTCCCCCCCGTGGTCCCAGGAAAGGGAGGCGGGGATCGGGACCGGCCGCCCTAGGAACAGGCTCATGCAGGGCCTGGTTTCATCCTCTCTGTTCTCAGGTGGCTTCCAGATCCATCCAAAGAACCTCATCGTCGGGCCCAAGTGGCTGAAAGGCTGGCGGGGGAACGAGCTGCAGAGGTGCATCCGCAAGAAGCAGATGGTGGGCGATCGGATGTTTGTAGAAGACTACCACAAACTCAGCAAGAGGATTCGGTACTTGTACAAGCGCTTCAATCGTACTGGGAAGCACCGCTAGGAGCGACTGTGGGTTCAGCATGGTTTTGTGGCACTGCAGTCAGAATAAAGCTAGTTTTCACACAGCTGGGTTCCCAGTGCTTTCTGCAACCTTCGCTGTGCATTTCTGGCCTGCTCGCAAGGTCCTGCGTTGCTCCAGGCCCGAGCTTCTCTGTGCAAGTTCTGTCCCCTCAATCATTTCTCACATACCTCTCATTGACATCTGTTCCAGCCTGCATCCCTGAACTTGACCTGGGAGTCTTCTATTTGGCCAGGCTTCTAGCATCCTTTTAGTCTCTGTGAGCCCCAGGTTCTCACATTGTCCTACTTGACAATTTCAATGCATTCCAGCTTAGGTTTTACTCGGAGCCAAATTTTCAAGTTAGTGCTAAGAGTGCCTGCCAATACATCTTCCTGGTCACTGCTTGCCACCTTACCCTCCATTTGTCTGTGATTATTAAGTATGAATGTTCCAAATGTTAGTTGAAATGCATCAAAACCTGTCTTAAGAACAGGATTTGTCTCTGTTTCACACTGATGATGACTTAACCCTGTACTGATGACACTTACTGACCAAGTAGGCTGTTGTTTATAATTTAGTCAGGATTTGCAAAAATAATTTAGGCACATAACTGTTTTTAAAATCTCTATCTTCTGGTTTTCCATAACTATTAATTGGTTCCTTTAGAGGAGAAGTTACAGCGAGTCAAAGCTGGCATCCCTCTAGTCCAGCATCACGAAGACCATTATATACTTCAGAAAAATCTGTAAGATGAGCAGGTATCTGCCTGTCTCTTCTCAGTTGTTAATTCGGTTGACTTTACATATCCTGTTACAGAGCAATGCTACTTTATCTTTAAAAGCGCTTGGTTGGAAGTGGTAGGGAATTAAAGTAACTTTCTTTAGGTGTAAGTGTTAGAAAGGTGAAGCCAAAGTCTCTGTTCAAGCAGCTGAAGTCCATGTTCTCAGAAGCAGGGTGGCAGACCTGTGGGACTCTTACCAAAAAGTGTAGATTCAGGAAATGTACAGATTCAAATGGAGATTGAGCAAGCACCTGGAAGAGAGCAGCTGGAGGTTATTACATACATCAGAAACTGGAAAAGTGTCAGAGAAAAGTATCTTGTACCCTTCGTCAGCTCTTAGTCCCTAAAGCACCAACTTGGCAAGGGCTCTGTGGGCCAGTAGTTCCACAAGCTCCATCTCTTGTTATCTGCAATGGTTATTGGAATGGTCTTCAAACCATGGTGGGAAGGTTGCCAAGGTACAGAAGCTTCTTCCCATCTTTGTCCCTTTACAGTTTGTCTGAAGGCACAGCTTAAAAACCATCAATTCTGCTGAGGCTACTGCTGGGTTGCTCCTTAACCCTCAATAGTCCTATCTGCAGATCATCTGTCTCTAGTCACAACCCCGTAATAAGTCTTCACCTTTCTTGCAGCAAATGTCTTGGCTCCCAGGCTGTAATTTAGACTGTCTCTATCTTGTGTTACCTACTAATCTATACAATCTGACACTGAAGACTTTTATTAACAGCCTGTATCACCTTATGAAAGGAACCTGAAGTTCAGTGTAGGTGTGAACCAGTCGCTTGCCACCCTACTCACCACCCTGACCGCTGTGCAGAAGGACTTCTTGTTCCAGTACGCTTTCCAGTTCCCTTCCTTTTTGTCCTGCATTGAAGAGCCCACCCTGCTGATCCACGACTTTTGATTCTCTAAATCTTTAGATGGGAAAAAAACCAAACATGCAGCTGTTCTTGGGGCTGCTGCTGGAGTCTCATCTCCCCCCGTGGGCAGCGGAGTCTCGACCCCAGCCACTCCAGGGACTCGTTCCGGTTCCCTTTTCCGCCGTGCGGGATGGTGGAAGCAGGCCAGCAGCGCTGTATTTTAATTGAGCAGAGCCAACACACGCTCTAGGGAAGGAGCG